CTGCCAATCAGGGACCAGGGAGAGGAGGAGGCCTAGGACCCGCGCAGCTACTGTCACCTGGAGGGACCCCAGCCCCCACCCTCGGCCCCGCCCAGTCCACGAACCTGTTCGTCCCGCCCCTCGGATCATCTCCGATTCTGCTTTCCAAAGTTCGCTTCAAGCGCTTTGTCCTCGCCTCTCTTCCATTCCCGAGTGGGCGCGGATGCCCGCACCCACTCCTGCGCCGCACCCTTTAGAGACTTCTGCGAGGATGTTCGTGACTGGTTTGGGGGTGAGAGTGGGTCAGGGTGGGAGCCCCACAGTGGCTGCCTGGACAAGGGTCAGCCCGAGGGCTGCAGGCTGCAGAGGTGTGGAGCCCAGGCTCTCCTTTCTCTGCCAGATGGAACCCTGCCGGAGGGGTGGGTGACATGGGTGCTCCTAAGGGAATCCCACGCGAGGTGGGTGACTGGCCCAGGGTGGGCTGCAGCCCTGCACCCCTACACAGCTTACCTTGGTGCCCACACAGGAGGCAGGCCACAAGGCCTCGGCTCCCATCTTTGAGTCTCCAGAAAGAATCAGATCGGGAGCCGGGGTCCCCACCTCTCAGGCTCCCCTCCCCCACTACCTCCCCACCCCCTATTGTACCCATTACTGGCCTGATTGGGGCAGGCTGCCCTCTAGGTGCTGGCTCACCTACGTGTGAAAACCGCTGTTCTTTGTGGTACGCGAAGGGCCTTGTGGGCCATAGTCCAGCCCTATGCTAGAGCTTGGAGCTTACTCTGCCCTTTACTGCAACCAGCACCTGTGACCAGAAACATCCCTGGGCCACTTCAGCCTCTACCATCTCTTGCCTTCGACCTGTCTAAATCCTACTGGGTCTCATTCAAACCACCCAGAAGAGCTTGGGAGGCTGGAGGAGTGAGGCCCAGAAAGGGGACCCTCAGGGGTCCTCAGTGGCCTTGGCAGGACCAGGTCTCTCACAGAGGCTCTGTGAATCAGCTCACAGCTGCAAGATTCAATTGGCAGCCCTGCCCACCCCCCGACCTCCAGAAGGGCCCACAGATCTGGTACCCAGAAGACCATCCTGGTCAGGGATTGTCCCTGCCCTATCCCTTCTTGTCTCTGCTCCCCGAGTCCCCACTGATGAAATGGCATGGAAGATGGGGAGCCTTCCTTCAGCCCAGGCGCATCCTGCCTCTCTGGACAGGTAGAGCCTGGGCCTGGTGCCCTAGGGACAAGCTGTCCCAGCTACGGCCCTCTGATATGGCCCGCTGATGTTTGCCCAGCTCCCAATGAGGTGAGGCCCTCCCTTCCCAGGGCTCTCACAGCACGCTCAGTTCGAGGCTCCCTTCCTGCCTCTGGAATTCGGCAAAGGACCCTGCGGTGGCTGGATCCCCTTGCACTGCTGGCCCACCTCACCCGAGAGGTGCTTTTGGCCTGGCACAGGGATGTGAATGGAGTCAGACTAATCCAGGGTCTGACTCCCACCCCGGCACTGTGGTCCCTGAGCCCACCTGTACCCGCTGTGGGGCTGGCCCCCTCCACTTTCCAGGGGCCAGTGGAAGCCCCTGTGCTCCAACCACACCGGTCTCTCTATCTCCCCGATCTTCCTTCTGCAAGACTGTCCCCTGCATCTGCCCCACACTGCCTTTCCTAGTCAGATCTATCCTCAAATAGGAGCCTTTCAGGGGTCCGTGGTGTGTCCCCCAGCCCCACTGCTCACAGCTTCTTCACAGCCTTCGAACATTCCTCAGCTAGGTGCACAAGTTTAATCCCAGCTACTTGGGAGGCTGAGGCAGGAGGATGATAAGCCTGAGTCCAGCCTGGGCAACCAGGAGAGACTCTGTCTCAAAAGGTGGGCTGGAGATGTAGCTCAGTGGTGGAGCACTTGTCAGGTACACATAAGGCCCAGTCTCTGTCCCCAGTATCATAAAAAAAATAAATAAAGACAAAGTAAAATAGACTTATCTTCATTCATCACTTACCGTCACCCCTCAGAGCAATCACAGACAGGTTTGTGCCATTCCCAGCTGCACTTGTAGTGCCTGGCACACAGTGAATGCTCAACAGGTATTTGTGAATAAATGCTGCTATGTAAGTGTGGCTTAAAGCCACCTCCCCCAGCAAAATCTCCGTGTCACCCCACCCTGGGCACCACTTAGCCCCCATATGCCTGAGACAATAGAAGGGTCAGATGACCTGGAAACAGGACCCCTGCCCTTTCTGCCACCCTGCATCCCAGGATCCTGGCTTCCCAGAAATGGACTCAGCAAGGCTCTGGGCCCTGCATCCACCTGCTTTGGGTCCAAATTCAGGCACTAGGCACTTTCACTTCTAGTCAGTCGATTTCTCCATCTGTAAAATGGGTCCAAGAGTCGATGTTAGCGACTGTAGTCAACTGTAGGAAGAGGAGGAGGTGTGTCTGGGCTGGCTCAGGTAGGGCCTGGCTGACAGCAAGTGCTCAGCCTTTGTGAAATAAACGAAGTCACTGGGCGTGGTGGCACACACCTGTATTCCCAGCGTTCTGGGGGCTGATGCAGGAGGATCATTGAATTCAAGGCCAGCCTGTGCTACATAGTGAGTTCAAGATCAGCCTAAACTACACAGTGAAATCCTTGACTCATCCCCCCGCCCCCAAAGAAAAGAAATAAACTAAGCCATGCTTTAATCTTGTGAGAGGCTTCCCCAGCCAATCAGCTGCCAGTGATCTGAAGCCTGCAGCGACGGCCTTAGCCCCCAAACCCTCCTGGTAGTGACCTTTCCTGACCTACATCCCCCAAAATCCCAATGTCAATGTCTTTCCCTAAGAGTCACTTTTCCGGAAGAGCGAGGGCACCTTTGGGATCAGCCAGCTCAGCTGTTAAACACTTAGTTAGCTTCATAGTAATAAGAATGAAAATTGGATCCCAGTCCCTAGGGCTGAAGACCTAGCCCAGCCCCAGGCCAGGGCCACTGCAGACTCCTTGAATCGCTTCACTGTTTGCTCAAGTCCTTCCTTTTCTTGGTCTCAGCGAGGCTCTCACAACAGTGTTATTATGCAAAAGCACAAGGGAAAGCCAGGCCAGGGCGCTACAAGGGCCCCCCACCCCCAGCACCCAAAGAAACGTGACATTTTTTCTTTAGGACCTCCACAGGAAGGGGCAATTTGGCTAATTGTTTAGCTTTTTTTTTTTTTTTTTT